CAGCTCTTTAAATGATCTAGAATCACATGTGACTTGTGACTCAATTAGCTGTATTTCAACTTTCAGTTTAAGTGGTAGTAAATAAGGTTTGACAGTGCCAGATTAGAACAGTGTGGAAGTGGGGAGCAGATGCATCATCAAAATTGTGTCTATGTAAAAAAAAGGGGCCACAAAAATGACAACTTTTGTCAGCATTTTCTTGTAAATATCATCTCCTATCATTGTGTTATGTATATGTGATGGATTCCCCCCTTTTTCTCCTTCACAGCACCAATGGACTTTGATATAGTCCTTGAATTACACATCCCAGCATCAAGTGTGGCCCCAGATTTCAGTGATGTACTCAGACACATTGTGAGAAATATCTCCCTAACCCAAACCATCACTGAGTCTTTAACACTGAAAAACCTGACCTTCACCACATGTAAGGACTTAATCTTAATTTACATTTTGTAAGCAGTCATATGTAATAGTGTTCATGTGATCCTGTATGCCTTATGAATTGTGTTTTGTGTTGTCTTAAAAAGGGTGCTATCCAAACTCCACTGGAGGGCTGCAGTGTCAATGTGAGGACCAGTTTGCCTGGTCATGTGACAAGTGTGGCCTTTACGGTGCATGCAGTAATGTCACCTCCCAAACCTGTGAATGCATCAAAGGGCTTCCTCCTGGTGTAGAGTTCTGTGAACCAATCGAAAGTAAGCTTCTGTCATGGCAAGTTTCTAACTCCTTGCTCTGCAGCACACGCACCGCAAAAGTGCAAATTAACCAACCAAAAATAATTATACTTTGGTTTGTTTGTTTTTGTCTTTTTACAATATGACAAAAGAACTTTAGCTTTAACTTCTCCGTTCCAGTCCTCTCTATCTTACGTCTTTCTCTCTATTTTATTTTTTGCATATTAAGGTTTTTTTTCTCTTCATAGGAAACAGGAATGGTATATTTACCGTAGCAAGATACCCTACGATCCAAACTGCACAGACAAATTTTGTATTTGCTTACATTTGTTGAGCTTACTTTTAAATCTCATGACACCTGAAAAAAGTTACTCTATTGATTCTCACTTCTCTTGAGCAGTACTGCTAAATGCATAGTGTTGACTCCAACTGTATTAATTTCCACCATGACCACATAGCCATGATGA